CCCCTGCACTCCAGCCTGGGCAACAGAGCAAGACTGTCTCAACAAAGAAAAAAAAAGAAAACAAAATAAAATCCTTTTTCATCTGTTATTAAATTACAGATTCTGCGATATCCATATTCCATGTAGATATTATTTAATATCTGCCAGTCTTTAAATCTCTACTATTTTTGAGTATTTATAGTTTCCATCAATTCTTAAAAGAAGCCATATACACAATTCAAGTTCACCATCATTACTGGCATTTGGTCTGATAATTGGCTACTGCTAATAGTGGCATATAGACTTAAATACAGGATACTTTACATATGACACTTACCTTTCTCTTTCAAATTATAAAATTCTATTTTAAATAATCTGACATTATAAATTTATATGAGTAAATTATAGAATGGTCTATTAATTTTTCCTTTAGTTTGTTGTGTTTTCTGTGGTCACAGAAAATGCTTTAGAAAAAGTAAAATTATTCTCACCCAGGTGCGGTGGCTCACACCTGTGATCCCAGCACTTTGGGAGGCTGAGGCGAGCGGAACACAAGGTCAGGAGTTCAAGACCAGCCTAGCCAATATGGTGAAACCCTGTCTCTACTAAAAATACAAAAATTAGCTGGGCGTGGTGGCGGGCGCCTGTAGTCCCAGCTACTCAGGAGACTGAGGCAGGAGAATTGTTTGAACCCGGGAGGCGGAGGTTGCGGTGAGCCAAGATAGTGCCATTGCACTCCAGCCTCAACAGAGCAAGACTGTGTCTCAAAAAAAAAAAAAGGAAGAAAGAAGAAAAAAGAAAAGTATTCTATATAAGTTAGACTATAGGTTCAAAGATAATTCCTTCATAAAAGAAAAAAAATCAATAAAATTTATTCATATGGCCATGCACCATGGCTCAAACCTGTAATCTCAGCACTTCAGGAGGCCGAGGTGGGCAGATGACTTGAGGTCAGGAGTTCGAGACCACCCTGGCCAACATGATGAAACCCCATCTCTACTAAAATATAAAAATTAGCTGGGCGTGGTGGTGGGCACTTGTAATCCCAGCTACTCAGGAGGCTAAGGTGGGAGAATCACTTGAAACCTGGGAGGCGGAAGTTCCAGTGAGCCGAGATTGTGCCACTGTACTCCAACCTGGGCAACAGAGCGAGAGTCCCTCTCAAAAAAAAAAAGAATACATAGACAGGTCAGAATTGCTCTCACACTTTAGTTCTATAGAATATCAAGCTTTTTTTTGATATTTTATTTAGTAATGCAGTGACTAGGTCTTTTTTGATATTTTATTTAGTAATGCAGTGCACTAATCCAGTGAAAGGTCTTTATAGATGTATTAAGTACATTTACAATATTCCCAGGAGGATTTGTTAGCACTTTTCTGAGAATGCTTGGAAATGACTAATTAGCATTAGAAATTTAACATGTTCGGATATCGTTATTTTATGTATTTATATTTTAATAGGATATTAAGGATTTTTTCATGTTAAATTTATGGATATAGAAGTAGGTAATTTGGCTTATTTATAATTTAAAGAAATAAAATTACTAGAGTACTCTTGGTAGAGATATCAAATGGTTACCCCTAGACTCTTAGTATTTTCCCTGTATCAAATAATGCTATCGTAGTAATATATATCTAAGTACTTTGAGTAGTAAATTCTTTTATTCTTCAACCTACATTTATTTGCCAGCTTAAATTTAATGTAACTCAAAATACGTACCAAATTTTTGGCTTCCCATAAATCAATTTAATAAATTTGAATTTTATTACAATGTGGGCACTATGATAGGTGTTGGGAGGATCTAAGATGAGAAACATATTGTCAATGCTTTCAAGGTGCTCACAGTTCTTACCCTCCACTTTACTACCTCACCTGGCATTATTAATTAATTCACTCAGATCTCTTGCTAACCAGAATGTAATGTTTTGATATGAAAGATTTTATACATCATTATCATCATCAGAGTATCAGTAGTACCATTGTAAAAAATTTTAGGCTGGGTGTGGTGGCTCATGCTTGTAATCCCAATACTTTGGGAGGCCAAAGCTGGAGGATTGCTTGAGCCCAAGAATTTGAGACCAGCCTGGGCAGCATGACAAAACCTTGTCTCTACAAATATTTTAAAAAGTAGCCATGCATGGTGTTGTGTGCCTGTAGTCTCAGTTACTTTGGAAGCTGAGGCAGGAGGATTGCTTGAGCTCAGGAGGTCAAGGCTGCAGTGAGCCATGATCATGCCACTGCACTGTAACCTGGGCAACAGAGCGAGACCCTGCCTTTAAAAAAAAGGTTTTATAGTTTTAAAAAAAATTATTTCATTTGTCTTAAAAAGAGTGGAATCTTTGCAATTGAGGTACACTTTAAAAAGTAATTTTCAGTTAAAAGATGCTTACTGTTCTCTTCTGACAGAGTTAATATTTTCAGTGTCATAATTTTGTGCTTTTTCTTTAATAAGTATACCCAGGATCAATCTGGCAGTTGTGCACACATAATCGTGTGTTAGCTGTCCATGGAAAATGTGTAGAATATTTAAATTTGTGTAGGATATGGTATCACAGTTTGGCATACTTATCCCAGAACACACACTTATGTATGACTGTTAAATCAGTTGGGTTTTATAATCATTACGGTTTTGATATTTGATAAGATTTGCAATATAAATTTTTTTACCTCAGAGAACAAGACAAGGTTATATCGTGCATATTAAATTCATAATACCATATAACTTGCTTTTGGGTTCATGATTGCTTTTCACCTGTACTTTCCATCTGTCATGAACAGGGATCCCTGAGATGTTCATACTCTACATTCTCATGTGCATGATCCTTAGATTTAAAAAGGGTGAGTGGGAGAAAGCTGCTTTATAGAAATATAAGTTCACAGCATTCATGTTTTGTGTGTTCCACTGCAAATATTGCATGCTGCATACTTGTATGCTGCATACTTGTATATCTCTGAAAATGAAGAACGTAGGCTCATAAGTACACAAAAAATTAGTTTTGTTTTTGCCAATAGTTGGAACAGACGGAGGAATGTTAGATGTAATACCTTTTCTATTTTTTCTAAAATGAATTCTGTAGTATTTTTCAAAAGACAGGGAAAAAAATTATATTTAAACTCAAAGTGGCTACAAATCAGCTCCTAAACTGTCACTGACATTAGCATATAGATTTTGTAGTTTTTACAAACCTTTTAAAATATTTATTTACTAAGAAAACATTGCATTAATGCATGATACAAAATTGATAAGTTTTCCTTTAAATTGGAATGCAGTTTAAAGTGACTGAATTTTCCAATTTCAGCTACTGCATTTGACAAGGATACATACTGGAAAATGGAACTGGTATCATCTAATTTCTTTAGGCTCCTTCACTTACAGTAGTTGGGAAAAATCTTTCCATGTGGCATTATGTAGATCATATTCTTGATGACTAATATTAATTACTGTGCTCTTTAGCCTTGACAGCAATGAAGAATTCTGGGTGGATATAGTTCATTCAAATAATTTAGGTGTATTTTAAATACATGTTTTCGATTAAAAAAACAGATCTTTGGCACTTGGCTTTTAATTACGTAAAGATTGACATTCTTACATTTTGCTCTTTATATTACAATTCATGTGTATGTTGCAGTTCCAATAACTGCACATCACAGTTTTATTATACACTTTAAAACAGTGGCATACTTGATCATAGATACAAATTAATTTTAGATTGAAACATATCTTTGTCTGTCACGTTACCTATTTTTATTTTTGTGTGTGTATATGATGACAAACCTTTCCATATTGTGAACAAGATAAAATGATATCTAAAATGTTAGTCATGAGAACTTCCAACCTTAGCAATCAATGCACCTCTGAGGTTATGCTGTTAAGGGCTAAAGTAGTAGTATTTTCAGTGAGCTCTTCTGCCAGTTGCCACACATGCTGAAAAGATCTACTTAAATATTTCTTGCTAGGCATAATAGATAAATAGTTTTATAAAAAAAATTAATTCTGATGCTCTCCAGAGATTTTTATGCTTAACTATTTTCTGTTAGACTTAAGCCAGTAAAATTTACCATTGTTCTTATATTGGAAAATTCCCTTATTAGTCACAATCAACCAGGCCCTTTAAAAAGAGAGAAAATAAACAGCTCTAACCAATTGTCAAGCATATAATCAAGTACTTTATAAGAGAAATCCATCCATTAATCAGTTCGTCATTTGCTTTTCATTATGTCATAAAGGATGGATTTATTTTAGAGCTTATGGTTTTGAACTACCACTTCCAGCTTCTGGAGACCCAATGATTAACTTGTCTATCTTCTACAACCCAGAATGTTCCAAATCAAACCTTTTTCATCTTGATTCTCCTAGATTTTACAACAAATCATAGTGACAATACCAGTTCCATTTTGCCTCCAATTCAGTTGATTATATATTTTTTCTATTTATTTCTCATTTTATAATTGATATCTGGAATAATCAGCAGCTCTTTTCTCATTTATTTTCTCATATTTTTATTCCAGGATTTGCCTCTGAAGCAGGGAGTGTCTGCATTAAAAATGACCTGTAGTTCTCTGCTTCATAGGTTAGAAACTTATTTTAATATTTTGTGGCTAAGCACAGTCCCACTTTTCAAATTCTATAATGAATTATTTAATTGGCATTGAATGTGGACCACAAGCATATATTTCATATTGGGGTTTTCTTTATTACTTTAAATGATTAAAATTCAATAGAATGTCCAGCTGAGGCAATAAAAGCTTTATTTTTGCTTTACAGCTTAAAACATTAAATGAGATTTAAAAAATCTATTGATTGTAACACAAGTAAAATAATGCTATTTGGGCATTTTTAAAAATTGCATCTCTTAGGCCTTATATTGCTTGAAGCATTTGTATTCTAAAACGTAACCAAATTCTGACTATTCATTTTGGGGAAAAACAATCAGTTCACAAATCACATTTTCAATGGGACTGCTAGCCAGCATAGGTGAAAACATGTATAGTGTATTTACTCTTGAATTGTACACTGCAGATGCTTCTTCAGCTCCCTCCTCTTCCTCCATGGGCGGTGCTTGCAGCTCCTTTACCACCTCTTCCAGCCCTACCATTTATTCTACCTCAGTCACCGACAGCAAGGCTATGCAAGTGGAGAGCTGCTCCTCAGCCGTGGGGGTAAGTAACAGAGGGGTAAGTGAAAAGCAGTTAACCGGTAACACAGTTCAGCAGCATCCATCAACACCGAAGAGGCACACAGTCTTGTACATCTCACCACCACCTGAGGACTTGCTGGATAACAGTCGGATGTCCTGCCAGGATGAGGGGTGTGGATTGGAATCTGAGCAGAGCTGCAGTATGTGGATGGAGGATTCCCCCTCCAACTTCAGTAACATGAGCACCAGTTCCTACAATGATAACACTGAGGTACCTCGTAAATCACGAAAACGAAATCCAAAGCAGAGGCCGGGGGTCAAACGACGAGATTGTGAAGAATCTAATATGGATATATTTGATGCCGACAGTGCCAAAGCACCTCACTATGTGCTTTCTCAGCTTACCACGGACAACAAAGGCAACTCAAAAGCGGGAAATGGGTTGGTATTCACATTTTTTAAAATTCTATCACCATTATGCAAAACAAACAAACAAAAAAACATTCCCAATTTTTCCTAATTGCTCAGCTCAAGTTTGCATATAAAGCAACAGTGCTAATTTTATCATTGAAATACCTGAAAATTTTAACTTAAAATTACCAACTTTTACTAGCTAGAAAATAAAATAATCATAGATTCTAGCAATAGATATCTTATTACCAGTATAGTTAGGTAGTAGAAAATGAAAATAATCTGTTTTGAAATAACTTAAATTTCAAATGAATTTATATTTTAAAAGGACTTGAAAATATTTTTACTCAGCCAGGCGTGGTGGCTCACGCCTGTAATCCCAGCACTTTGGGAGGCCCAGGCAGGCGGATCACCTGAGGTCAAGAGTTCGAGACCAGCCTGACCAACATGGTGAAACCCCATCTCTACTAAAAATACAAAAAAAATTAGCTGGGCATTGTGGCACATGCCTGTAACCCTAGCTACTCGGGAGGCTGAGGCAGAAGAATCGCTTGAACCTGGGAGGTGGAGGCTGCAGTGAGCCGAGATCATGCCACTGCACTCCAGCCTGGGCGACAAGAGCGAAAGTCCATCTCAAAAAAAAAAGAAAAAAAAAAATGTATGTCTCTATATATATATTTCCTCATAGAAATAACTAGCAATGTAACGACTCTATCAAAAACAACTCAGTCACTAAGAGCTGTGTTCTCTTTCACATTGTGTCCTCATATGGTTTACATTTTTTAGAAGATTTTAGACTTAAATTTTTTTCTCTTTAATTGATGAAAACAAGAAAAAACTCAATTGATAGTTTGATTCTCATCATTTAGATTCATGTATCATAAGCTTTTTTCCTTTGATACTAATACACTGATTGTGCAGATTCAATATTTTTTTTAAATCACTCATTTTTTTTCTGTGATTCTGGGTTACTTCTTTAGAGGGTGATGAAACAGGATCATGGTACATGTTTGAATTTTCTTTCATCTCTGTCAGTCACACTACCCACTAATATAGTTCAATAGCTATGTTACAGAATATTCACTGCTATAATGCAGACTAGTATGACTTATTTTTAATTCCTTTAGTAATTTTATTGTAATATTTAATTGCTAGACTTTTAAATTAGATTTTTCTATAGTACATTCAAAATAATTTGTTAAAATTTAACTCGCTAGGACCCAGGATCTCCTACAATTTCAGTTTTACACAAAAAGTGGTCAGGAAGCTTTAGATTGGTTTACTACTTGATGACATCACTAATCTTTTTTCAGTTAAAAATCCAGTTGAATATTATAGAGAATATTCTTAATGTATATTAAACTTGCCCTTAAGCACTCCCTCAGTACGTTTTAAAAAGTAATATCTACCCTTTAAGCAATAATTACTCTACACTGCTTCTTTACTTCCTTTGGGGTGATGTAGTTAAATGAAAATGAATATTTAAATGCTTTTCAGTTTTAGAAAGTCCAGATTAGTAAATTACCTAAAAGAAAACAAGATATAGTCTTTCCTAAAATGTTGCCATTTAATAAAGTCAAGAATTTCAGAACGTAATATTTGTAGAACTATTACTTATAAAATAAGGCTCTGAAATGTAATGAATACAGGAGGTAAATACTTAAAAGTAACTGTGATAGTAGCACAGATCTAAAAGGCTCATGAATATCATTTAATTATGTATGTGTGTTTATTTATGCTTTAGTGGAGAAAGTCTTTAATATAAAGTTGTGGAAGATAAATTTTCATTTTTATCTCAAAATGAATGTTGAAAGTTCAAATTTAGAGCAAATAGAATTTTTACTTATGACTAATAAACACAGTGATTTGCAGTTGCTAATTAAATATCTTGACCTTCATCTTTTCTGCTTCTACGTTTGTATGATAGCTGTATCTTAGAAATGATTTGAGGTTACCCAGGGAAAGTATAATTGGTCAAGACAGTCTCTTTCATGAAATAATTCATGGAGCAGAAACTGCATCAAGCAGAAGAAGTGTCCAGCTTCTTAGGTAATTAAAAAAAATTTAAAATTAGTATATGGAAATGATGGAAGAAGTTTAAAATTGGAATTTATAACAACTATATTGAGGAAAGGATGAAATCATACCTGAATATATAGAAAAATAGGCCTTAAAAATAATTTTTCAGAGCATGTCAAGCTAAAAGCCTGTATTCTTCAACAGTGAAAAAAATCTTAAAATGTTTTGAGAGATAAGAATATAACCTTAGATCTAATGTGCCATAAAATTACAATTTATATCATACTAAGTATTTAGAAAATGTAGTTTAAAATATATACAGCAGTTTATTGATCTTCAAGATACCACATAGAAATCTGATAGCTTGTAGATGAAAATAGCATTTTTATATGACTAAAATGTTAGAGTCTAATAAGAGAATAAAACTTGGCTGGGCGCAGTGGCTCACGCCTGTAATCCCAGCACTTTGGGAGGCTTAGGCAGGCGGATCACCTGAGGTTGGGAGTTCGAGACCCACCTGACCAATATGTAGAAACTCCGTCTCTACTAAAAATACAAAATTAGCCGGGCATGGTGGTGCATGCCTGTAATCCCAGCTACTCGGGAGGCTGAGGCAGGAGAATCACTTGAACCCGGGAGGCAGAGGTTATGGTGAGCCGAGATCACGCCATTGCACTCCAACCTGGGCAACAAGAGCGAAACTCTATCTCAAAAAAAAAAAAAGAAAAAAAGAATAAAACCTTTTTTTTTTTTTTTTTTTACAGAAAAGCTTAGTATTTGAATATTCCTAGCCATATCATTCTTAAATTTTTCAACTAAATGTCCTGAGTATCAGTTGCCCCATGTCTCTTCTAGATATTTCTATAAGTTAAGATATGATGTCATCTGGATGTGAAACCTATTTTAGGCTTTTTGTAGTGAAAATTATTTTTTTTGACATAGGCCACCAGAAGGATTATGCAGCACACATAAATTAGAATGTCATTTTAAGACTTGTGAATAGAATATGCCATGATGGTGGATTTTCCTTTTTGAATTTTACATGGTAAAAATCCCATGTAACTGACTGCTACTTTATTTTTTCTGAAGCCATCATGCCTTAAAAATTAGTAACTTGACTATGTTTCTAAGTGTTAGTGGATGTTTTCATGATTTTACATGTCTATACATCTCAATATGTATGTATTCCATTTTTACATTTTAGAAAATAGTTTTAAGGAATTCTAAAGTACCATTTTAGAAATTGCTTAATTACATATGACATTCTTTTTTAAGCCATAATGTGTATACTTAGTCAATAGTCTTCATCCCAAGTGAGATCATTTGTTTTGCTAGACGAGTAAAACTCATTTTCATTTATTTGCCCTTATAAATATTAGCTTGACTAGCGTGACTATAAAAACATGTCTTGCCAAGTTAATATGCTGTATGAATTTTCCTTATATTTCAAACTAAAATTTTCCCTTTTCTATTATAAAATTAATAGATATGAATTACAAGTATTTGAAAAATACAAGAAAACCCCATAATCTAGTCACTCAGTAAACCTGCTATTATCGTTTTGCAGTATTTTTTTTTCATCTCTTTGTATGTGTATCGGGGGGATATTTCTACATCATTTCAATAAATGAATATTTTTACTTTAAGATTAGTATAAAACAAAATATCATAGACTTTCATGTGTGAGGAACTGCACACTAGTTAGACCAAATGTTTGAATCTGTACCCAGGATGATGAAAAGAACAACAGGGTTTATTGCTCATTGTTCCAGCTTCAACTTGATACTTATGTTCATAGAATTTATTCTTCCAGGGCCTTTTAAATGACTTGCACAAGTAATCTTTGACCTACTTAAGTCAAACTTGCACGAATGGCATTCCTTGTCCATTTAGGACCTTTCTCATCTTAGGTCTTTCTCATCTTAATATTACAGAAGCTCCTTTATCTCTCTGCTTTCCTTTCTTTGTCCCTTTCTTCTTATTATTTGCCTTCATCAACAAAGATTTCTTCAGCACCTGTTATGTTTCAGGAACTGTATCAGGTTCAGGGAATATGAAGATGATTAAGCATAGTATTGCGCCTTGAGAACTCTTCCTCTTATCTATCAGTCTTACTGAATTCCTGTGCTAGTTTCAGTCCTTCTTTGTTCCATTCTTTTGCCCCTTTCTTAGCCAACAATTCAACCTAGTCCCCATTTCCATTGAAGATAGTGCCTTTCTCACTTTGTTCTTGATGATTGAGGCAACAACTTGGTTACAGCTAGAGGGGTAAACATTAGAGCCAGGTTTAAGCCTGCTTAGCTCCTCTGTGTTTGAAGTCATAATATTCCTACTGGGATCTGGTTGCTTTTAGAGGAGATTTTTCTTCACAGTCATCTGGCTCCTGGATCTTTGATGTGAGTCAAAATTTAGGACTAGGAGGGTCACAGAGAAAGCTATGACCCTGACTTTATTTAAAAACATAGGTGAATTTTGTTTTTTTGTTGTTTTTTTGTTTTTTGAGATGGAGTTTTGCTCTTGTTGACCAGGCTGGAGTACAATGGCACAATCTGGGCTCCCTGCAACCTGCACCTCCTGGGTTCAAGTGATTCTCCTGCCTCAACCTCCAGAGTAGATGGGATTACAGGCATCTGCCACTGGCTAATTTTTTGTAGTTTTAGTAGAGATGGGGTTTCACCATGTTGGCCAGGGTGGCCTCGAACTCCTGACCTCAGGTGATCTACCCGCCTTGGCCTCCCAAAGTGCTGGAATTACAGGTGTGAGCCACCGCTCCATTGCTCAGAAGGAAAGATAACTAGCAATATTGTTTTTACTTATTTTTATTATGTATTTGCAGTGCTTCAACTATTTTACAGATTAAATGTGTTCGCCTGAAGTCATAACCACCATTTGGGATACTGTTTTCCTTTGAACATATATTCCACATAGCAAATGCGTTATAAATAAATGTTAAAAGCATAACTAAAAACAATAAGGGCCAGGCGCAGTGGCTCACGCTTGTAATCCCAGTACTTTGGGAGGCCAAGGTGGGCAGATCACCTGAGGTCAGGAGTTCAAGACCAGCCTGGACAACATGGTGAAACCCCATCTCTAATAAAAATATAAAAACAGGTGTGGTGGCACACGCCTGTAATCCCAGCTACTTGGGAGGCTGAGGCAGGAGAATCACTTGAACCCAGGAAGCAGAGGTTACAGTGAGCTGAGATTGTGCCACTGTACTCCAGCCTGGGTGACAGAGTAAAACTCCGTCTCAAAAAATAAAAAAAAAGGTAGAATGCTGGTGCTGTCAAGCCCAGATTGTAAAATTTTTATTGAGAGCTTTAATTACTTAACTAATCACAAATAAAAATAATCTGAAAAATCACACTTCTAGAAAAGATTGTTTAGAGTAAAGCTAATTTCCCCATAAAAATTGAATCACTAATTTTTTATATAATTTCTTCAGTTTGATTTACTGAGAAGGAAACCCAAAAGAATAAGCTACATATACCTTCATTTGGTTTGTAGGCCATTTTGTATGGGGGTATGTAGGGTTTTTGGGGGTTTGATTTTTGCTTTTGCTACCCTCACTTTTTTTCTTTTACTTTGCAATTAAAAAATAACAGTAGTTAATCTTATAGCTTTATATAAAATTTAGAATTTATATATGGAATGCATACATGGAATTTTTAAATCTTATTTTGACTGAAGTACAGTGTGAAAGGTTATAGTGACATTAACTATTCTTTTGTATTAGTTTCAGTTTATTGCAGTCAGTCTTCCTCCCTTCCTCCTACCACTCATATATGTTCATTTTCTTTTCTGTCAAACGTACTTTCTTTTATTTTTGCATCATATAGTAAACTTTTTTACAAAATCTTTTTAAAGATACTTTGCTCATGTATCTTCCCTTAGGCCATATTTTATTTTGCCAGCAAGCTAAATAGTTGTTTTTACTATTATTGCCAGTTCTGTTTCTTCCTTTGTCTTAGATGGCTGCTTTTTTTTTTTTTTAATCAAAAAACTCTTTTTGATACTTTCTCCATGTTGTGCTCTGATTTCTCAGAACATTGGAAAACCAAAAAGGAACTGGAGTAAAGAAGAGCCCTATGTTGTGTGGACAATATCCTGTTAAAAGTGAGGGAAAGGAGCTGAAGATAGTTGTGCAACCTGAGACACAGCATCGAGCTCGGTACCTGACTGAGGGCAGCCGCGGCTCAGTAAAAGATAGAACACAGCAAGGCTTTCCTACAGTAAAGGTATTTACTTTATTTTCATTTGAATTTTAGTTAAAATGTAAAGGGGAATATGTCCTGAAAAGTAAAATATTTTCAAATCTTGAATTTTCTTCCCTCATATTTGATATTTGAATTACATTCATCTCAAACTTTATATTTAGAAAGAATTTTTGTTGTTGTTTTGAGACAGTCTCACTCTGTCACCCAGGCTGGAGTGCAATGGTGCAGTCTCAGCTCACTGCAGCCTCTGTCCCCCGGTGCAAGTAATCATGCCTCAGCCACCTGAGTAGCTGGGACCCACAGGTGTGTGCCACCAGGCCCAGCTAATTTTTGTATTTTTAGTAGAGTCTGGATTTCACCATGTTGGTGAGACTGGTCTCGAACTCCTGATCTCAAGTGATCCTCCCACCTTGGAGGAAGAAATATTAAAGTGAATTCAAAGAAATATAGTAGAAATTACTGAGAACTTTGAAAATAAGGTTTTTGAGATGGTTAAGTAATCAAGACTATTGGACTGAGAAAAGAATTGATTAATACTTAAGGCTTTGGTTTAAGAAATGGGATATTATTTGCATCCACTCAAGTACAGGGGGAAAGAAGGAAATGAGGGAAAAAAAAGAAATGGGATATCAATTGAGTCTTAATTTTTTTAAAAGTTGAGACTAAAAGTTAAAAGGGACTTAACACCTAGGATATCTTGTTATAAAGAATATTTGTCTTTGAAGACAAACCTCAAAAAAATGGGAGAATGGGGAGAAGACTTAACAAGTGTCCCTACCGCTTGCAAAAGACTAAATAGGGAGGAATTTTGGCTAGTCACATGGTAAATTCTTATTAAATACAATTTGTATAAATATATTACTTAAACAGTATTTTAAGTTAGGAGTAGAGGTGGACTGCCTTTCATTTTATACTTGAATGAAATTATGATTGAAACTCTCTGGATCAATCAGGAAACGTGTCTGCCACCATTTATAAGGTTGGTTAATAGTCATGTGTACAGTATCAAGCCTACCCTTCTTCACTACTTACTGCCTTAACCCACACCCAATCCTTCAAACCCAGGACAGGTAACAGGCAAGTGAGAAATTTATGTTATGCTTTGTGTAAATATTTGTCTAGCCAGATATTTTGGTAGTTTGGTCATTACGTTTAACCTAATTGCCCTGACTTTATGTTTTGTCTAGTTAGAAGTATTGTTAGATTAATTGCTTAACTATGATAGGGAATGAATTGACCTTAAAAATTTGTTTAGTCATTCATTCAACAAGTACTGCACTCTTCCATGTGCCAGGCACTGTTCTAGGTTCTGCTGACCAGCAATTTGACTGGGGTTTGCTTATTTTCCTCATTATGATACCATTTTGTAGAGATACAGCTGTAAGGCATGTGTGAATTTTTTAAGCACTTCGTTTGGCATGCATTGTACAATTTACTTTGTGATTTTCTGCATTCTATATTAGCGGCCTCAATGTTTAACTATAAGCCTTATCAAGAATCAGGATTGGAAACATTTGTTCCCAAATGCTATTTTAAATATTTATTTATTTTTCAGCATACAAATTATAATTTAATTTATGAAGGCTTGCTAGAGACCTGTAATGAGCCATAGATCCCCGTTTGAACTAGCAATCTCTCAGACCATAATGTTTTATCCCAGGATTTAATGATGTTATATGTATGTATCTAGTCCATGAAAATCAGCTTCATTTCCTTGTTATTCATATAGCTGCACTCATACTTTTCTACTCAAGTAGCTTTAGTAGAATAAAAATATGGTATATGTACTCTCATTTGATGATGATGATGATGCCACTAACAGTTTCGTGAGTTTTTCCATTGTTATGGTGGTAGGTCCTGAGCAACCCAAATGCTACCTAAAGTACTGTGTATTCATTCTCATCTGCTTGTACAAATAAATTATAAATGGTAATTTATCATCTAACATCTACATTTATAATTTAAGTATGGTTATTACAGAATTAAAACTATGACTTATTTCAGGAATTTAGCCAACTCTTTTATGAAAATGTTTTACCTCTGTTTTTCTTGAAGATTTAAATATTTTTAAATGTAATTCAGTTACAAGTATAGGATTTGGTCTTAAATATTTGATTTTATAATTAGATTATTTGAAATGCTAATTAGTGTTTCTGTTGCATGTTTTCTTGTTTCAGCTGGAAGGCCATAATGAACCTGTAGTGTTGCAAGTGTTTGTGGGCAACGACTCTGGACGAGTGAAACCACATGGATTTTATCAGGCCTGCAGGGTAACTGGACGAAATACAACTCCTTGCAAAGAAGTGGACATTGAAGGCACTACTGTTATAGAAGTCGGCCTTGATCCTAGCAACAACATGACACTGGCGTAAGTACTTAGTAAGAATTTTTCATTATATATTACGCTCTTGTGTTAGGCAGGAGAATTGTTCAGTTTCTAACGTACAGAAGATTTTGAGTATTTTATTAAAATGTTTTAAATATTATGAATAAAAAAAGACACTACTTCAGAATGGTTGTGGGTTAAAATTAACTCTTTTACCCTTTGCTAAAGAATTCCTATGGTTGGACCAGGTGCAGTGGCTCATGCCTGTAATCCCAGCACTTTTGGAGTGTGACGCTGGTGGATCACCTGAGGTCAGGAGTTAGAGACCAGCCTGGCCAACATGGCGAAACCCTGTCTCTACTGAAAGTACAAAAATTAGCTGGGCGTAGTGACACATGCCTGTAATCCTGTCTCTTATACACATCTAGATGTGTATAAGAGACAGGGCTTGGTGGCGCACACTTGTAATCCCAGCTACTTGGGAGGCTGAGGCAGGAGAATCGCTTGAACCCAGGAGGTGGAGTTTGCAGTGAGCCGAAATTGTGCCACTGCCCTCCAAGCTAGGCAACAAAGTGAAACTTCGTCTCAAAAAAAAAAAAAAAGAATTCCCACGGTAAAGGCAGGGATATCAAAGCCAAGTTGAAAGCTGGCCAAAGACTTACTTTTTTGGGTTTATAATAGTAACATTGAAAATAAAAACTACGATTTGATTTGTTTTCCTGAATTCCACCTTCTTAATGTTTGGTTTAGAAACCTTTTTTTTTTTTTTTTTTTTTTTTTGAGACAGAGTCTCCATCTATCGCCCTGGCTGGAGTGCAGTGGTGCTATCTCGGTTCACTGCAACCTTTGCCTCCCAGGTTCAAGTGATTCTCCCTACTTCAGCCTCCCAAGTAGCTGGGATTACAGGCACCTGCCACTGCCCCGCCGGATAATTTTTGTATTTTTAGTAGAGTCAGGGTTTCACCATCTTGGCCAGGCTGGTCTCCAACTCCTGACCTCAGGTAATCCACCCACCTTGACCTCCCAAAGTGCTGGGATTACAGGCGTGAGCCTGTAATGCACTGCACCCGGCCAAGAAACTGTTCAGCAGAGGCTATGAAGTGCCTTATTCCATCTTGATGTGAAACGCGTATTGCTGGTTTAAATTCACCATAGGTTGTTATTTTCCTGTATTTAAAAAATATATATCTTTAGATTTAGATTATGTGTTTTTCATCTTGCACATTTAAGTTTTAAAAATTATTTTTCCTTAAGCCTTGCGTAAAGGACCTTCAGTTGTAAAACTGAACCATAACAGCAGGAAATATATTTGTATGGGGTAGACCTATGTTGTAATTATTTGTGTATTGGATAGTTGCTAAAGACTTTACTTGGTTTTCAGTTTCTTTTTGAAAGCCATTTTAAATAGACTGGTAAAAGGTTAGTTGGAAAAAAGACATTTTGAGAAATATTTTGTAAATTTTTTTTTTGGAGAGGGAGTTGTGCTTTGTTGCCCAAGCAATGTAGTGGCATGATCTCAGCTCACTGCAACCTCCACCTCCTGGGTTCAAGCGATTCTCCTCCCTCAGCCTCCCGAGTAGCTGGGATTACAGGCGCCCACCACCATACCTGGCTAATTTTTGTATTTTAGTAGAGATGGGGTTTCACTATGTAGGTCAAGCTGGTCTCGAACTCCTGACCTCAAATCACCCACCTCAGGCTCCCAAAGTGCTGGGATTACAGGCGTGAGCCACCGCGCCTGGCCTCATTAATATTTTTTAACTTGTAACTTTTGAAAATTATTAAAAAAAAAAAAAGGGGGGGCTGGACACAGTGGCTCACGCCTGTAATCCGAGCACTTTGGGAGGCCAAGGTGGGTGGATCATGAGGTCAGGAGTTCAAGACCAGCCTGGCCAA